CCTTGGGGACCATTCAGATTTTGCAGCTCTGATACTCGGTTTGCTAAGAAGGGCTTTCATCTGGCAGTGTTTCTTTTGATACAGTGCGTGGCTACTGTGGAATCAGTCCAAAGAATAGTAGCAGCATTCCGGAGGTCGAAGGTCTTTGCAACATGGTTACACAGTCAAGCGTGGATGAGTGTCCCCATCAGCTCTAGTCGGGATAATCAGAGGTGCTTCAAAGGAGCTACTTTTGCTTTGGCCATATTTAGGCTTATAGTGATTATTCCCAGAGGAGACTTGCATGCAACATGTGACAGCACTGTATGCCTTCAGGCTGGCATCGCAGAAAATGGGCGACACTTTCTCTGTCTGTTAATCTCGGAAATCTCTTGCGATGATTTTCGGAATGGACCCTGACTTGATGCAGTGAAGCTTTTCACACCATTTGTCCTACTCTGCCGGCATTATTTCTGGCAAGAGATCATCCGAACCAACACCCAACTCCCACAACCATTGGAACATTATTTTTACGTTGAGCGTTTGAGAGCAATGAACCCAAAGGAGTAGAAAATTCTGGCTGAGACTTGCAACATGAATCTCTTGCTGTCAGCTCTTGTAGTGAGGAAAGTCTGACCTCACTCGGGAAGTGAGGTCAGATTGTACTCAAGGTTATCTGTATGAGCATTTCAACCCACTCCCAATACCTTGGTGGCTGCATGAAGTCCAGCATTTGCATTCCGTTTTGCCAAGTTTTCGTCTTCTGTGAAGTTGATTAAATCGTAGTCGTTAGGCATCCACTTGCGGAGTCTCATTCCTGCTTGTGATAATATATCGCTTGATTCCTGACATAACCTTTTACCCTGCTCAAGGCTGTCGACACCAGTCACAAGGTCGTCAACATAGAGGTGCTTGCACAGGATGCCCGCAGTTTCAGCATACTGCTCCGTGAGGCTTTCAAGATGGTGTTGTAATGTTGTGGTTAATAGAAACGTACTTGATGTGACACCGAACAGCATGTGCGTCATCGGGTAAGTTGCCGCTGCTGGAAGTTCTTCACCTTTATTCGGTGTATTTACATACCAAAGAAACCGCACAGCGTTCCGGTCACCTTCGGACAGATATTTGAAAATAAGCCTTTTCAATATTCGCAATCAGGCCGATGTTGTATGAGTGCGGAAGTTGATTAGCAAATCGGTCAGCTCTGGATTAAGTTTTGGACCACTTTCCAAAACATCGTTCAGTGATAGGCGGTCCTTGGTACTTAAGGAGAACGACTGGCCAAGACATTTTTTGTTTATTTCATCAGTGATCTTGATCAAACTGCACAGGATCATGCAGTTTTAGGGGCGAAGCTCTTTATGGCGTGGCTTGTGCGTCCCTCGTAGTACGTAATCACCAGTGGCACATAGCCGAAATAGCGGTCCTTACGATTTTGACCTCCAAGGTGGTTCCGGTGAGAGATTTCTTCTGTGCGTTGTTGAACAATAAAAGATAGTGCTCAATGGACATGTTAATGGCTGCTAAGGGGGAATGAGAGACAGGAGCATTCGGCCTTTAGGTAACGCGCACGCTGCGATCCCCATTAGCAGCTATTGGCATGTACGTTGAGCACGATCTGACAAGAAAGGGTTGCTATGTTATACTCGCTGGGTGTAACCTCCTTGGTTTTAGAAAGGTTTAGCGAGCGTAGGGCCGCATAGCCATGAATACAGTGAACTAGTATATACACCATGAACTCGAGGTGGTTAAAGGTGGGAAGTAAACCCGAAGCGCAAGCCGTAAGAAAGTGTGCATGTGCCACCTCCCGTTTAGTCCTTGAAATGTCCGCTGGATGGCGGTGCTTCTATATGGAGAATATGATGAAAAGATGCGAGATGGTGGTACTTGGAGTGCTGAATAGATAGACGAACGGACAAACAGACAGATGCATGGATGGACGCATGAACGGACGCAGGCGCGGATGCATGGACGAACGCAGGGACGGACGCACGAACAGACGCACGCACGGACGGGTGGATGGACGCATGGACGGTTACACAGACGTACGTAGGAACGGACTGAAGCAAGAACGAATGGGCGGACGAATGCTTCGCCCCACTCCCCATCATTCACTCCGTGGATATGCTGCCGTTTTTTTCTGCTGATTTCAAATATTTAATTAGTTTTCCTGTCTCTCATCTTCTTCCTGAGATAACTTCAGTTCACCCCCTATTGTTTAAGGCTGCCATAGAAAAAAGTGCTTAATTAAGAGTGATATATAAATTATGCCAATATAGACTAATGACTATAGATTGAAAGTATGCAAGAGTTTTTTTGTTTTTGGGTCTTTCTTTGTTATTTTACAGCAAAATGAACTATCCATTTTCCAAAGCAGTTGGAATTGTTAAAATTTTGATGAGTAATTAATTAAAAAGGCTTGTGTTCTAAATTCTGCTCACATACTTGCATTCTACACACATACATGTTTCCATTGCAACAAGCACTATTATTGTACCTGCCCTAGCTACAGAGATATTGAGGCGTCAATATTGAACAGTCGTAAATTTACTTTTTTTGAGAAAAATGGAAAAAAAAACTGAGAACACACAACTTCTTCAAAAAACAACAATCGTGGTGCGCATGTTTTGCAATCTTCATAAAGGTGCTCATAAATTCATTGCAAAACTTCTAACATAGGTCCCGGCAAATTATAAAGAAGGCTTGAAGTCTGTTCCCCATTTTTTTGCAGATTTTGCATGTTAACAGCACCAAGAATCTGGACAGTTGGAATGACATTAAAAAAATTACCACTTTCTGGTGTGTCGAAGTTGACAGAGAGGTAAAAAAAATACTTGCAAAAACCAAATGTGTCAATTTAAAAAAAAAAGAATATTTTTGTCACTTTTTGGTCCCAAAAACCAGTTTGCCTTCTTAATAATGCATTGAACACCACCCTCATTTGGTTGTCTGGCTTTTTTGTCGCACGACTGCTTGATGTGGCATGTAATACACTGGACTTCCCGAAGGGCTACAATGCTTGTCGACTGGCTCTGCATAGCTCTTTCTGACATATTCTCGGGTGCAGGTGTTATATTCCACGATCATGGTATCTCTCCTCAAAAAGCGCATTGTTTGGACGCTTCGCAGCGCACTCGTCTTCGAGCTCATCAACCATAGGTCTCCAGGGAAAAGACACTGTGTGCCGGCCATGGTTGAATTTGACGGTTTCTTTCAAGCGAAGTTTGATTGTGTCTTGATGACAAGCTGGTTCGTGTTCCTTGATGCCAATGTGTTCGAGCTCCCAGAATACCTCAACTGAGTCGATATTGATTTGTTGGTTTGCTCGCTCACTGCGACTCGCATTATGCCAGCAGCAGAGGGACCGACTCCTGATGACATTCTTGTGCCAACCTGGCTCTGGACTGTCCATCCAAATACAGTCTCAACTGCGATCAGCTTGGGTGTTATACACTTGGTGGCTCCCGTTACTAACTCCCAATAAGGATTGGCACCGTTTATAAGGTCGATGTTTTCACTTACATCACCCTGTGAGACTTCTGCAACTGGCAAGTCAAATTTCAGAAGTTTAAGTAGAACTGACTTTGAAAATGTAGCCATCATATCTACGCAGATGCAGGGAACCTCCAAATCCCCCTCGCATATTTGTTTTCCCGTCATACTGGCTTTGGAGCCACATCTTGACCCGACGCGCTTTGGTGCGGTTTATAGCCTATCTGTCACCAAAGGCATAGATTCTGAGCTCCACTTCCTTTAGAACCTCTGTGATGTAAGGAGTGGCGATTTTTGGGGAGGAGGAAGCTTCTGCTGTTCACTCATTGCCCCCCCCCCCCCCCCTAGGGCCCCAAGGAGGTGAAAAGATCTGCCAGCACTCCCTCCACCTAACCAGACGGCTCACGTCTGTCATCTGGTGTATACATTTTCACGGGAAGCCATAGTTATTGCCCAACCATGTGATTTACCTGATGGCTCGCACCCATTAATCACTCTTTGATAGTATAATAATGTGAAAAGTTCGTGAACTCAGGTTGTCGCTAAAGCCAATTTTTCTTCTTCAAGGCTTCCTTGAAGGAGAGCATCCCTCCCCTTTATACTTGGATTGATCAGACTCCGGCTTGGTACCAGTTCATTTTGTACCAGTCTTTTTTTATAAGGCTTCTTCTGAATATTTGGGAAATCGGGAATGCTTGACCTAAAGGCCTTGGCAGCGAGAGAATGCCATGCTTGGCATTCATGCCTCTAACTACTGAGCGGTCATTTAAAGGAGTGATGCAGATTTGGAAAAGTTTTTGTTTCATGCTTATGCTTCAACACATGGTGACCATATGAGGTGCTTCACGAAAACAATGCTTCAGACTAGTTATGCCTACGTAGCACATGTACAGGCATACTCACTTGCAACAGGGGAGTGTGTGGCCTCTCTAGTTCAAAGGTGCGCAGCCACATGCTCCAGTGTTGCAAGTCATATTTAGTGCCACTGTACATCAAGACAAAGGCAGGCCGCAAGTGAGAGACCCTTGCTATGAAGTATATGAATTTTGTCATTATTCTTTTTTGCCAGTGACTGTCAAGTAGTTTGAAATAACACTGTCTAAATGATGCATTTGTGATAGTTATGCGTAAGTGGCATCTGTAAGGGTTAAATTTCATATAAGAGAGGCGAGTTTGAATATGTGATTGCCTCAGTGAGAGAACAATTACTTTGATGCTTGGGATTTTGGAAAGAAGCCTTGCCTTTGAATTGTTAAAATAAATGAAAATGCTGATAGGACAAAATGGATTAGAATTGCTGTCTGAAATAGGCCACATTTAACAGTGTAGGCAGACCTAGAAATGGAATTCTATATTATTTTCAGGATTGTTTGCATTTGAATCTATGCCAATTTTACGATTAGCGTAGATTAAACTCTGATTAGATTAAACTACCATTTTTTGTGAGAGCATTGCATGTTTATTAACTGCCATTTTCGGTGACTGAATTGCTCTACATCTTTTTTGGCATTGTGTTCTTTTGGTTGTAGGCAAGGGAGCGTGAGGTGTGCCTTCGAGATGTCCGGAGGTTTGACATTCCCTGCACCAGTTGGTCCGGTGACAGTGCCATGGGGTCAGTAGCACCTCTTTATATTAGCTCATAATATCTATGAGCAGTTAGATTGTCGCATCCTTTTTTCATTTGTTACTGCTTTGCTGTGACTCGGGATCTGTTCATCTCATTGTTTAATGGCCCTAGAAGGATGAATATTAGGAAAAAAATATCGAGACCATACTGATGTTTAGTGTGCCCACATTTTAGTGTGTCCTTTCAGAAACTGTTTCTTTTTTTTCCCCCAGCTTACCTGATGGTAGCAGGTTTGATATCTGCTGTGGCAGTCGCGTTTTGAGGAAGGCAAATGGTAGAGGCCTGTGTAATGTGCATCTACTACTACTACTACTACTACTACTACTACTACTACTACATCTTTGTATTCTGGGAAATTATGTTAGCTTGTTCATGTGCAGAAAAATCTTTGTTCACTCAAACGAACATGATTGTTAGTCATTGTCTATCAGATAAACAAGCATCACTTTCATCTAGCGTCATTCTGATGTTATTTGTGAAATATTATGTTGCAAAACAAAAATAAAAGCTTGTGTAGAAATGTACACCCTAGAAATGCAAGAGACAAACACTTTACACAGTGTTCTTAGGGTTCCTCTCGCCTAGTGTGTCTCTCAAGCCTGTTGAACTACAGAACCTGAAATAAAGCTGAGTTGCATACAACGAAGCTTCCCAAAATTCTACGCTCCTTATTAATGTCTATTAAGGGCGCTTGAAGTGGTTGTTTGCTCTGTGGCATGCCTTTGCGGCATATGTTGGCAAACTCACTCATGACAATGTCTTAGTCTGAGTGACTCGTGCCGAGTTAGGTGAGTCTGGGTCTGAGTGAGTCAGCTTGAGAAAAATTCTGGTGAGTCTTAGTTCGAGTGAGTCCGGCTGAGTTTTACTTTGGCAAGTCTGAATCTGGTGGTATTCATCATTAGGTCTCAAGTGCTGATATGCAGCTTCTCTAACAGCGTGTCAGACGAGACAGCGCTGTGTGTCCAAGACGTCTGTGTGCGATGTTCAGGACAAGTGCTGTGCGCTATAGGCGCTATCATAATCTGATGACAGAACTTGCAGCTGCCTTAACTAAATTGCGACTCGTGAACAGAGAACGAGTGCAAGAACGTTGCAAAGTAGCACAGTTTTTTTAGGTTGTGTTGTTTAGGAGCTATAAATTTAATAAAGGCATTCTTTTTTTGACTCCGCAATAATTTTCACCACTTTGGTAGATGCAAAAGTTTTTTTTACAGCACTTCTGTATAAATTTCATTGAAGATATTTTGGAATCGGAGTGAAAAAAAAAGGCGGGGCTACAGAGATTGAAAATGTGATCTTTAAAAACAATTTTTTATGCTCCAATTGAGAATAAATTTATGACTTGAAATTCTCTGTGATTATGGTATACCTACTCAGTGTTTTTATAGAAGTCTGTTGTCACAGCACATATTCCTTTTTTACAACCGACCATAATCGTTTTTACTATGGAGGTCCGTTGTAATGAAGTTATATAGTTAGTGGAGTCTCATTAATTCAAAGATGCTTAATCCGAACTTCCGGTTAATTCGAACTCGCGATGAGGTCTTGTCAAAGCTATGTGTATTCCAGTGGGCGAAAACACCCAGTAATTCGAATGCGCAAGCACTTGCGACAGTTAATTCGAACATACCGCGCTCCGTAAATGCTCTCAGCACCCCGCCCAATCTCGCTGCGGCACCTCCGACACCTCAACGCTGCACGCGATGAAAAGGAAAAGGAAAAAAAAGGCTACGGTGGAATGTTTTCTCTCTTTCAAATGCCGACCTGTTACGCGCCTGTGCCACGCTTCTTCCTTTTTCGTCCCTGCCATGTAGAGACCCTTCTCCTCCAATGCCCTGCGCAAAGAGAAAGAGGGAAAAAAAGAGGGAATGTGGCTCTCTCTCGCGCGCCGGTGCCACGCTTCGCCCTTTCCCGTCCCTTCCACGTAACCCTTCTTCTTTTAATGATGCGAGCGAAGAGAGAGAAAGAAAAAAAAGCTGCCGTGGAGTGTTGGTTCTCTCTCAAATGCCGATTGCTTCTCTCTGCGTAGCGACGCTCCTCCTTTCTCATCACGTGCTGGCCACGCTGCAGCTTTGGCGCAGAAGGTAGTAGCGGAGATGCAGTCATTGTTGTTGTCGTCTTTAGAAAGTGTCGGCGCTGGACATTGCCGCGCGCAGCTTGTCTTGCCAGAAGAATGCTGAAGCCGCAGTTGACTTACTTTGCAAGCTGCGGGCAGAATTGACTCGTTGCAAGGCAAACATGTGCAGATGCGCATAACTGATTACTTCAATTAATGACTGATTTGCTGTGATTTGTGATTAAATGTAAGTCTTCTGAAACTTCCCCCTTGTGTGTTAGCTCAATGCACATGTGCCACTGTATGGGGAGCCCTCCGTTTACTTAGCTTTCGTTAATTTGAACTTCTTTTAATTTGAACAAATTTTCTGGCCCCTTTGAGTTCGAATTATTGAGATTCGACTGTATAAGAAACTGAAAACTTTATTGCATAAGATAAACACTTGTGAATATGTTTTGGAAAAATCTTCATGTTAGGTTGAATTTGGGGATGTCGATTCGAGTGGATACAAGTGCTATAGTCGAAACTACAACTGATATGTGACTAAGCAGCATGGAAAGCTAGCTGATTTGGTATGCATTCGTCTAGTTCAAGTTGGTTGTCTTGTCCTGCTGTGAAGCTTGAACATCATGAACTATGGAGCTCGAATCTTGAGCATAAAAAGAAATCACACGTGGATGTCAAATTTGAACAATTTATCGCCATAAATAACTGATAGCTTTCGTGTTCCCCCTCAAGCAGTGCATGTCGCACAGTACCCTTTTACTGCACAATGTGCTACAATCCAAATGTGCCACACCAGCGTTTGTGTGCAGAAGTGTGAAGGTAAGCATGCTGCGCTCCCTGACATGATATGCACTAGGCTTGTGCACTGTCTAAACAGATGTCCACACATAAAACGTGGGCATGCAATTGCCCCGGAGCAGTCTGGTGCTGTGAGTAGGCAACCCACTGCACACAAATAGGTCGGTACAACTGGTGACTTGCGGTGACAGATGTAGTGTTTCACAGGAGTGATGTTTTGAAGAGATCACATTGCAAAGGCATACACACGCACAGTGGAAAGCTGAGTAAGTCAAACTCTCTGCCGTCAGTTGTAGCCTATCTCTTTCTTTGTCTGGCCATCCCGCATTTGAAGCAACATTTTGTTTTGTTTCATCAGCCTTTAGGGAGTAGACTTGAAATAGGGGCAAGATAGTATGGTTATTGCCAATTTCTTGCTCAGTACTAGTATCTACAGCTGACAATTGTGCTTGCCATTACTCTTGCACTTTTGAGCACAACTTTTTTTCCTGGCCACTAGTTGAACTAGGGAAAAATTCAATGGTGTTCCTTTCCGTCACGACCAATGCAACACTACATTGTTGGAGCTGCTGCCTGCCATCATCTTTTGCTGACTCCTGCTGATTGCTCTTGTAGTGTGGGTAAAGGACATTCAGAATGGTGCGGGCTCAAGTTTCCAATTTCAGTGAACAGTAAACTGTCATGTAGTGCGCTTTAGGTGTTGTCCCCATGGGTGTGGGTGCTGTTAGTGCGAGGGCAGAGTTGTGCACCCTTGCTTGTGCTACATACGCAAAGATAGCATTACGGGCGACTGCACCAGTTTCTATACCCTGAGCGATTCGAGTGGCAATTATTAAATTCAAGCTGTTACCAGATCGAGATTAAATTCATTAGTCGGCGTTGTTGGTATGAGGAATTGCTAACAAGTTTATACTTGAATTCCACCCAAGGATCAAAGAGTTTGACAGTCTATACCAGTATTTCATAGCAAGCTAATGCATGACGCCGCATTACCCTTAAGCACTGGAGTTGCAGTAATGACTTTCCTTTGACAGCATTGAAATGGCTCCTTTGCGTACATTAACTCTTTTTTTACCGCGCCTATTCAAATCGATCACCGGTGGTCGATGCTTCGGAGCATCGATTTTAGCATGTTGAATTTGTTTCTCGTACACCCAGCTTTTTCTAGTACAGTAAAATCTCGATGATACGATTACGCTTTATCCGAACTTCGTGATGATCTGATTTTTTAACATTGTTTCAAACGGACTACGTTATATACATTTCATCGTGATTCGGTGTTACAGGAATGGTTTCCCCACACCGTGGATGATACAAATGAGCAATTGGTCGCTGCAAGCGAGCGGCGCAACGCAGCTTGACTGTGTGAGGGAGTCTTGTTCACACTTGGCCTCGAAAGGAGCAAATGTGGTAAAACTCACTGGAATTTATGTCGCTTTCCAGCCTAAGTGGCTGGAAAACCACGTCACGAGGCTGGCGCGAAAAAATTGGTCCAATTTTTACGCCAAGCGATAGCGGATCGCCTTCACTCTTCACGGCTTAGACTGCACCAGCTCAAGCCATGTGATGTAAATAAACGGTTGCCAATTTAGCATGGCGGGAAAGGCATCGGCAATGGCTCGCTTCAGTGCAATCGGAAATTACCTATGTACACGACAAAGCTCACTGCCTCGACAAGGACACATTCACTGAGAGCCTGATTTTGATTACAGTCGCCGAGAACAACGGAAGTAGAAAAAGGCACAGTAGGAGCGAATCGGCATGCCCCAACGTGTCTCGCTTTTGCACAGCTGGCTGAATCTGTGATAAAGCTGCTGTCGTTTATCTCCCGAATGAACGTAGGAAAAAGTACGAACTGTTACTTTCCAGATCTTTGCATGCATGACTAGAACTCGGTAAGAACTTTAATGCTCAGGAAACGAGCAAAATAAAATGAATTCTCAAAGTGGCGAAGGCGACGTCGGCATGTATACTATGAGGGGCAGAAAAAATGTCAACGTTTTCAATGCACGGGTACAAGCTTTTCTGGCTGCTCTGTCATTTTCGTTCTCACTTTGCTTCTCAAGTGTGTATGCTCTAGGGCTGATTTTTTTTCTGTGTCGACTTTGGGGCGCAGTTTTCCGGC